AACATAACCTTCCAATATGTTGATCTTCATGTCTCAACCATTTCGAGACTCCTCGTCATGTCCGTGATCACATCCGGGACTCCGAACTACCTTCGGTACATTAAAACACATAAACTCATAATACCAATGGTCATCGAACGTTAAGCGTGTGGACCCTACGGGTTCGAGAACTATGTAGACATGGCCGAGACTCACTTCCGGTCAATAACCAATAGCGGAACCTAGATGCTCATATTGGTTCCTACATATTCTACGAAGATCTTTATCGGTCAAATCGCATAACAACATACGTTGTTCCCTTTGTCATCGGTATGTTACTTGTCTGAGATTTGGTCGTCGGTATCATCATACCTAGTTCAATCTCGTTACGGGAAAGTCTCTTTACTCGTTTCGTAATACTTCATCCCGCAACTAACTCATTAGTCACATTGCTTGCAAGGCTTATAGTGATGAGCATTACCGAGAGGGCCCAGAGACCTCCCCGAAACACGCAGTGACAAATCCTAATCTTGATCTATGCCAACCCAACAAACACCTTCAGAGACACCTGTGGAGCACATTTATAATCACCCTTTTACGTTGTGACATTTGGTAGCACACAAAGTGTTCCTCCGGTATTCGGGAGTTGCATAATCTCATAGTCTGAGGAACATGTATAAGTCATGAAGAGAGCAGTAGCAATGAAACTATAACGATCATAATGCTAAGCTAACGGATGGGTCATGTCCATCACATCATTCTCCTAATGATGTGATCCCGTTCATCAAATGACAACACATGTCTATGGTTAGGAAACATAACCATCTTTGATTAACGAGCTAGTGCAGTAGAGGCATACTAGGGACTATATATTTTGTCTATGTATTCACACATGTACCAAGTTTCCGGTTAATACAATTCTAGCATGAATAATAAACATTTATCATGAAATAAGGAAATAAATAATAACTTTATTATTGCCGCTAGGGCATATTTCCTTCAGAGACTACCAAACACGACATGAAGTGGTCAGTTCATTGCATGCAATGCTATTAATTAGCAAATAAACATTAAGTTCTCTCGTAATTCTTCCGCTTGGTCGTGGTGCACAACCTAAGATGACTTATGCACCTGGACGGAGGGAGTAAGTAAATCTCATGTGTTCGTCCCCGACTATGTTGTGTGTGTGGATCATAGACGAATGAAAAGCTATGGCTCAAGAAGAAAGAGCAAAAGGCTTATGAGTTCGTTTTATGTTTCTTGAGTATAGGGACCCCGCTCTATTAAGAGGGGATCGATAGTGTTAGTAAAATATTTGCTCAAGTCATTTTGGTCTCAAATTCCTTCTTTCTAAACTTGTTAACCAATCCTACTCTACATTCTTGTTCACAAGCTTTACATCTCACGGAGCTCTTCTTGTAAGTCTTAGGTGCTCGCATTACACATCGGTATGCCGGATGCCCGGGCTCTAGCTGGATATCTGGGCTATCTTCATCAACACCTTAAGTGCTTGCTATCTCTGTTGGCCGGATGTCCGGTCCCGTGGCCGGATGCCCGGGTATCTCTCGGATATTCGACTCCTCCTGCCCAGCACGTGTGCACGTGTGCAGGTTTTAATGGTGAGCTCGCCGGATGTCCGTTACCAGGCCGGTTGTCTGGGTGTTCCTGAGTGGTCGGACATCCAGGGCTTCCTCGGATACCCGGCTTGATCTATCTAGTACCGAAGCAGGTTTACGCGATGCAAACGTCAAATGTTCAACACCATGACAGATGTCTGGGAACTCTGCATTTCTCCTCTATATTGTGCGCATCTTGTGGATATTTCAAATGGTTGGATGTTCGCCCCGTCACAACCACTTACACTTCAACAACCATATTTACACCACCACTATATATAGCATTCTTCCACTCTGAGAGAAGGTTGACCATTCACTTTGAACTAACCCTAGAACACATGTCATTCTCTCCCGCAACCTCATACACCAAATCCTAGATTCCGGAGGGATTCAAGAGAGTTCTTGAGAATTTGTCCAATCAAGTGATAGATTCACTCCCTCCCCCTCTCTTGACCAAAGGAATTCATGATTTGAGCAAGTCTTGAGCTTTTCCCCATCGTTCTTGTTACTCTTGGAGGTTGGGTACTCCTAGGCGGTAGGATTTCAACCCATCCAAGCCATTTAGGGCCAAAAACTTTTTCATTCAACATAGACAATATACACTTGTACTTAACTTTATCAAATGCCATTTCAAAATCCAACTGTAGTATGAAAATTGGTTTCTGGATAATTGAAAAAGGTGTAGATATTCAAAATCCCAGCATAGGCAATCTTAGATTGTTTTCCCTTCATAAGACCATGTTAGTTCTAATGCATCACACGAATAAATTTTTTTGTACTATGTTGGCCAAGAGTTCAATGACAAAATTCATGGGCATGATGACCAACGAGACCTACATATAATCATCGATGCCTTTAGGGTCATGCATTTTGGGAATTAATGTTTAAAGTGCATTTATCTCTAAGTGATATTACCTCCATCCTAAATTAGTTGAATTTGATTTGTTTAGATGCAGATGTACCTAACACTAAAACGTGTCTAGATACATGTGCACCTGGACAAATCTAAGACAACTAATTTGAGATGGAGGGAGTGTTTTTGTGTGATGACACCATGGTTAGTGGAACTAATGATGGTTATTATAATCTTATCTCACGTCATTGGTTCCTTGATTGATAATTAAGGAGATAGTATACCCCCTCCCCCACACACACACTTCAAAAAGGATAAATATATGGTTTTTTGATGACTTGAAGCTTTGGTTTCGCTTTATTTTAGTCCTAGGGCAACCACACCATTAGGAGGGGTCAAGGTGCTCGAAAGAAAGTGATGGAACACAACAAACTCATACACCAACATTCCCTACGCTATATCCATGAAATACCACAAACTCATCATAAATGTGTTATTTGTCATCCTACCACGTGCCCACATGGTCTAGGGTTGATTCTCTGGATCCCCGTGTGCATGGGACCCCTGTCATCCTATGTCCACGGGGTCAAGTGCGAATCCTATGTAACCCACATGTCCATGGTGTCTATGACCCCCCGTGCCCATGAGGTATGGGGAATGCCTCGGGTGACCCCGTGTGCACGGGGGGCTCCAGGAGGATAACGACTAGATTTGTTGAAGGAGTACAAATAGCAACTTCTTCCTCCAACCCAACCCTAATGTCTTGAGAGTTGCTCCACCATTGCTAACCTCCATTTTTCTTAATACTCTCAATCCCTCTACCCAAAGACTCCAATACTTTTGGATATGGGAGAGCAAGAGTCAATCTACACTTCTACCAAACTGATTTGTGTTCCCCACTCAATTTCTTCATCAATACTTTTTACTCTTGGAGTTTGGGCTCCTAGGTGGTAGAGGTTCCTCTATAAGCTTCCTTGCGTATGGCGTGCTCTGGAGAAGTTTGTAAACGTGTGGTGGTAGCCTCCGAGACCAACACCGAGTGATTCGAGGTTCATCCATTGGGGGTGACTCGAAGGTAGAATGAAGTGAGCCACGTTGTGGTCTTCTATAGCTTTGGCTTTGGCACTGCTCCAACAAAGATTAACACTACCAGAAGTGTGCAAACTTTGGGATAAAATATGCATTCTCAACTCACTTGTGGTTAATAATTCCCATTCCTTCACTTTTTTGTATGCTTGTTGGCTTGCTAATTACAGCATTGCCTCTTGTATTTTTCTTTGAGCTTGTTTGCCATATATGCCATGTTCACCTAGTTGCACATATAGAGGACCTACATTATCCACAATTCCCTGAAATTAGAAGATAAGCTTAAAATTTGTAGTCTCTTGTTCATCCCCTCTAGTCGATCGCATCGATCCTTCCAATTAGTACCAAAGGAATGCCTCTTTATTAGGGCATAATCGCCTAAAGAGAATGTGGTTGATATTGGAAATGACAATTTGGGTCAACAATCTGTCGATGGTCCCCTTAGGGCATAACCATAGTGTTTCATGAGATAAGGATAACTAAAGAAGATTAGGAAATAAACAAGGCAAATTCCTAGAGAATTTGCAAGTTATAGAGGAACCAGAGAAAAAGACGTGGTCGGGTCGAGAGCTGGTGCTCGTATTCGTGCATGTATTGGGTTCTGGCGAAAGCAATCTTTTTTCTAGAACGGAAGACGGCCTTCAGCCAGAGCGGCCGGGCTCGTACTGGTGGTCTAACTTGGGTTCCACACATGCGAAAAAGAAATATTTTTAGGGGTTCGGAGTCAGAGGGGAAGACGACCTATGGCATGAGTGCTCGTGCTTGTAACATAGGTTGTACCACGTCGTCAAAGACATTGCCCGTACTGAGTCTCTTGGCATTGGTAAAAAATTAATAGAGGTACAGTATGGTGTGGTACGAGCACTTACGCTTGTACCAATGGTCGTACCCTTCACAAAAACCTCGACACGACTTTGTTATAATAAGCTAGTGAAATTGAATTATTTTACCTTAGTGAAAAGAGGATGGAGATTCTTGGGATAGTAAGGCCCATCCTTACGCTCCTCCCAAGATTTGTTCTTAAGGTTATTCTTGGAGCTCTTCTTCTTCTTTCTATTTTGTAGGATATGTTCTATTGTTGCCAATTTGAGTGGACACAAATTGTGAGGATAATTACTTTCATCGAAATCACGTACCTTTCATACTTCTAATATTGGAGGAAAAGCGGCGAAAGACGGCTAGGATCGGGATGCGCTCTGCTCTGGCGTCCCAACCCACAAACTCAGAGCAGAGCGCATCCCGATCCCGCACCGCCGCCCACGCATCTCGAGTAGTTTCCAGCTCGCCGGAGAAGGAGCAAGAAGATGGCCGGAAGGAAGGGAGGCGACAGGAAGAAGGCGGTGACCAGGTCCGTCAAGGCCGGGCTCCAGTTCCCCGTCGGCCGCATCGGGCGCTACCTCAAGAAGGGCCGCTATGCCCAGCGCGTCGGCTCCGGCGCCCCCGTCTACCTCGCCGCCGTCCTCGAGTACCTCGCCGCTGAGGTATGCGCCGATCTTTCCTGTCCCCGAGCACCTGTTCTGCTCTGTTCTTCTCCTGCTCGACGGATAACTGACAGATTTCGTTTTGGATCGCAGGTCCTGGAGCTCGCCGGCAACGCGGCCAAGGACAACAAGAAGACCCGCATCATCCCGCGCCACCTGCTGCTCGCCGTCCGCAACGACCAGGAGCTCGGCAGGCTGCTCGCCGGCGTCACCATCGCCCACGGCGGCGTGATCCCCAACATTAACTCCGTGCTGCTCCCCAAGAAGTCCCCCGCCGCCGCCGAGAAGGAGGCCAAGTCGCCCAAGAAGAAGACCTCCACCAAGTCCCCCAAGAAGAAGGTCGCTGCCAAGGAGTAGCCGCCCCCATAGACTACTGTCGTGACATTACTTAGGTCCATATCAGGGAGAGGATGAGGAGATTTGGTTGTTTGGATCCTGTATGTAATTGCCTAGTTGTAGTGGCACTTTCATTGGTTTGATGAACGGGCCAGTCAGGGCTGTAATTTATCCCTAATTTATGTCTGGAATGGCTAAAGATGCAATCCTTTCAATCATTGTCTCTTTTTTGTCCATTGCTGCGATCCATTTTGTGTATGTTTGGTTACCTGCCTTTGCTTCAGAGACTGTCAGCTTCTGGTTATTAACATCTTGTACCTTTTGTCCGTTTAAACCGATGACAGTGCTAAATTAGATACTCCTAAGTTGCTTTCAGACAAACATGGCCACCGAACTAAACTTTGGATAGTCAGATGTACCTGACAAAACTGACGGATCTGATTAATGTGCAATTAGGCAAATGAGATACCAGCATTAGTTTTGGGTTGTGAAACAGGTAGGAGTATTACTTACTGAGAAATCAAGATACTCCTGTAGATGAAGGTTTGTCACAGGAGGGCAAATATTGCTGCGCTTCATGTCTCAATAAAAAAAAACATTTTCAGAAAACAAAGTTACCACCATGGAGAAAATAACAGGTAATAAACTCAATAAAACGGTGAATAGTCAGAGGTTTCGCACATAATGTTACAAACTAATAAGTACCCTTCTCACGAGTGCGGCTAATCTGCACCCACGCTTAGAAAAAAATTCAAAAAAATACTAGAAAAATTCAAAAAAATTCAAATTTTTTTGTGGTGGTAGATAATTTGACGCGTGAGGTGCGCCCCAAAATTGAACTCATTTGAGCATCTGAGCAGCTCTCGGCAAAAAAGACAAAATCAGGGTCTGTAAAAATGTATACTGTTCACGCACTGTTTTGACCCGATTTGTCTTTTTTGCCGAGAGCTGCTCAGATGTTCAAATGAGTTGAATTTTGGGACGCACCTCACGCGTCAAATTATCTACCACCACAAAAAAAATTGGAATTTTTTGAATTTTTCTAGTATTTTTTTTGAATTTTTTGCTGAGAGGGAGCAGATGAGCCTGGACACCGTTTTGAGTTTTCCCCCTTCTCACCCCTTTCTCTTTTACATTTTGCACCAATTGTAACTCTGCTCTCAAAGTCAAATGATATCATCATAATACAGCTAAGCATCCCAATGTGCATCAACTTCTAACCTTGCATCTTACTAATTTAAGAAACAAAGCAAACACGAGGACATTATTTGCTAACATGATTTCTTCAATATTTCGTGAATTTTCTTCTAGTAGTGTCGGTAATATAGAACTTGGTACTTTATGATGCGCTTGAATCATGGTGTATTCTCATATTCTTGTTTGCCCACCCTTTTTTGTCCATATTTTAGTGTTTGTTTGACCTGTTTTTTCTTACTTTTGTGTCTACTTTTTCAAAACAAATTATAAAATAAGCACACTACATTATAATTCACTAATTGCGAACTAAACCTTAGACATGTCTTCTACTCCCTCCGTTTCTAAATAATTATCTTTTCAGAGATTTCAAATGGGCTACCACATACGGATGTATATAGACATGGTTTAGAGTGTAGATTCACTCATTTTTCTTCGTATGTAGTCACTTATTAAAACCTCTAGAAAGACAAATATTTAAGAACAGAGGGAGTATATGACTGTATCTTAAGAGCCATGAATAAGAGCATAGCTCCCCTCTTACCCCCATCGTCTCGATGCGGACGCCTAGACATTGGTTGACCCAGTCTATGTCTACCTGCACCCAACATGTAGCGGGTTGACCCAGTCCAAGCCCTCCATCGGATTTATCATTTCTCCGCTTCTCTCATTTCATTTTCTTCCTTTGTTTTTCCCTGTTGAAAGTTTTTTTGGTTTTGAAAATCAGATAGTAGTTTACAGATTCCCGTTCAAGAAAAGAAAAGATAGAGAATAGTTTAGAAGTTTCATTCTATCTCGAGATTTTCTTCATTGGATTAATTCTTTGGTATATGCATAGCGATCTAAATACAATTGTTGATATGATATATAACCTTGTATATATTGAGGAAAAATGCAAGACACCGTTGATAAAAAATCAGATCTAATATTAAAATTTTGTTTGAAAATAAAAAATAAATACATAAAAACGAAAAGGAGAAAACAGAACAAATCAAACAGATTTTTTTAATGCAGATTTAAAAAAAATCAAGGAGTATGTGAAGAATGTTCAACCTATGTAGTGAAAATGTACCACGTACATTGACCAAAAGTTGACATATATTTGGAAAAAAGAAAAAACGTGTGTATATATATATATATATATATATATATATATATATATATATATATATATAAAGAGAAAACCGATGAAAACCAGTAGAGAAAAAACATAGAAAAGGAGAAAAAAATTGACAGAAAACCAACCAGAAGGTTCCTAAAACAAATCCAGGCCTCCCATGGAGAGTTCTGAAATCCGCTTAAATGAGTCGGCCCACTCACCGAACACACAACGATTTGTCTCGCAGTACGCGAGATATAGCTCACCCAGGGACAACGAGACGCTCACCTGGGGCGGCCCATAAGAACGCTGAGCCGCCAAAGCGATGTATATTTGTTCACTGAAAAAACTATGTGACGGGGGGATAGACCCCGGGTAGCCTCATCAGCACTTCTCCACATTTCAAGATATCTAGGCTGGCCGAGCCCCTCAGTCCGACTGGTCACAAGGCTAGTCCTCTGGGCTGGCTGGAACCAGAGCGCCGCCTCCTAGAAGGTGGCGGATCCGAGGAAGGCGGCAGACCCCGAGAAGACGACGCGCTCCAGAAGGCGGCGAAGGTGGCCCGTCCCCTCCCTTGGAGTCTGAGCCCGACCAAGAGACAAGCTGGGGCATGGCTACAGTGCGCCATGCTTCCCCCAAATCCCGGACTTATGGCTAGAGTGACCGCCGCCAGGCGGTCGCCGACCCGCCCGACGCGGCACTGTATTCCATGGCGTGCCCGACACGGCTTCCATCAGCACGGATGGTGCAACCGTGAAGAGCCATCAGTGGGACCCGCAGGCGGCGGGGCCCACCTGTCAGACGGTTCCTTAGCAGCCGGCAGGGCCCACCTGAGACTGGCCCCAGCAGCCGACAGAGAACCCAGCCTCCTTTGTCACTGATGGTCGGGGCCTACCACCCGGCCGAATTACCATTGTACCCCTGGGGGGAGGCCTATATAAACCCCCCAGGCTCACCCATGCAAAGGATTCCCACTCCATTTCCCTCCACCCATAGCTAGAGAAGAGATAGAGCAAGCCCTACCCTTCTACTTCCTCTAGCCAAACAACTCAAGGAGAAACCTTGTAGCCCCTCTATCGATCATAGTCATCATGCGGAGACCCCGCAGTTATCTCCACGGAGAGCCCTGAACCTGGGTAAGACTCGTCGGCGTCCGAGGTCTTGCCTACTCCCTCTTCTAAAGCCCGACAACGTACTCCTTTCCTCACACATGATAAACCATCCCTTGGCATATGTCGAGGAAACACCATGACATTTGGCGCCCACCGTGGGGCTAAGTGCACCGTTGGCTGGAGACACGTTCTAGACGGGGACCCTCTTCCTTCCCGGCGAGTGCAGCCAGCCCGGCGCACTGGATGGCGCTTGCGCCGACACGTTGCGCGGCGTGGAGGCCGTCTACGCTGCGAGCTCCCTCGCTGACCTCCTCAGCGGGATCCTCCTCGCCAACAAGCCCGCGCCCGACGCAGGATCGGCCAGCTCCGAGAGCTGCCTCATCGACATCCTCAGCAAGCTCCACATCGCCAGCGAGCTCGCCTCTAACTTGGAGTCCGTCGGCTCCACCGACCCGCCCGTCGAGATGTTCGTCCATTCTGACGTGGCAAACACCAACGTCTACCCGACTATGTGGACATCGTTGACGACCCGCTCCCTTCTGCGTACGGCAACACCAGTGCCAACACCATCATAGAGGTGTTGGTCATTAGCGAGGACGGAGCATCTGCCGGAGTGGGCCATGACCCGCAGCAGGCGGCGCTGCAGGATCTGTCCGCTCCGATCGAGGTAGGCGCGGATGGTGCGACGCTAGAAACACTACGCGTCTCGCTCCTCGACAGTGCCAACAAGTTGGCCGCCATGAGGCGCCTCACCGAGGCCTACCAGCGTGAGATTGAGCGCGCCGTGGGCGGCACACCGTCTGTTGGCAAGCCCAGCCGATTGGGCGCGATCCGGCAACACGGCGCGACCATCGCCGGCATGCTGGGAGCCGACCGCTTCGTCTACGTCACCCTGATGGAGAACCTGCACATTGCCCAGGCGGCGGCAGACGAACTGTACCACCTGGAGGGCGACGAGCAGCGCTGCATGATGGAGCGCCTCCAGCAGCTCCTCGACGCGGCTGCTGCGCAGCAAGCCGGCCGCCGTGTGGTGGAGCCCGACGTACAAGACAAGAATCGTCCTCCTTGCCGCGAGCACGGCGCAACCTCTCAGCCCCCAACAGTCGGTACCCACGGTCGGAGAGACCAAGAGCCGGCTGTCGGCCGCAGTCGGCGCACCCACATCACGATCGAGCGCGATCGAGACGGCCTCCCATGAGCAGTGGAATGACGGGACAATCGCCCGCCTCCCCCACGCAGGGAGAGGTGCGCTTCCCCGCCGCTTGTTGAGCATCCGACTCTCAGAGGCCGGCTTGGCCCCCGTGAAGGAGTCGGAGAGAATGACGCCCGCCACCGGATCGACCGACTTGCTCGGTCCCTGGCGGAAGAAGAATAAGATGCAATTGGCCCACCTTGTTTCGGCCTCCGCATCCGTAATGAGCCCTTCCCCAAAGGGTTCTCGCTCCCACAAGACACTCCCAAATACAACGGTTCTATGAATCCGGAGAATTGGCTGGCCGACTACTTCACGACCGTCAACATAGCAAACGGCAACGAGCGTGTCACCATGAAGTATGTTCCGCTCATGCTCCAGGGCACAGCCCGGACATGGCTGAACAACCTCAAGTTGTACAGCG